CTCGTCCCTCAAAGCTATGGATACGGATAGCTTTATTATTCCCATCACAATTAGCCTAGGCACTTGTGTCTCTTTGATGTGAGGCGAGGTAGGGAACCATTAAATAGTGCAACGAATTGTCAGTGCTCTTACATTTTACAATTTTTTAGAATAAACATTAAGGCTAGAAGCTGTTATTAAATTAACTCGAATCTTAGATCAGCTTAATGAGGAGAAAAAGCATTTTAAGTAGTGTGTGGGTGGCCTTATGCATTCTGGGAGACCAGCTACGTGGAGCTTGTGCCAACTGTGGCTTTAATGACACGCACTAAAGCCTTGGTATAACAAGTATTTAATCAAGGCGATCGTAAAGCTGGCCAATTTTCGGACACTAGAGGTGAAAGCGAGCCTCCATGGAAGATTGTTGGTAATAGTGAAGAAAGATGAACGGCAGATGATGTCACATTAACAGGTACGAGTAAATGGAAGTAACAGTATTTTTGAAAGCTGACACTGTGAAAACGTTTAACATCCAGCATCAATTAGCCCCATACGGCATGAAAAACTTCGGTGTTCCAAAGAATTATACGATATTGCTGTAATTCACTGAATTCCTGTTCCGCGTGCCTTGCCATCAGTATTTGATTTGGTGACATTCTAATTGACGTTTGCACAACTAGATCTATCCTTCTGTGTGCACGGTAAGAGAGACCCTGGAGGGCTATGCGGCTGGTGGATGCCTTCCCTATGCGAAGGCGGTGGCGGCACGCCAGCCCTGGCTGCGACTCTACCTTCACGACTGGGTTGGCCTCCGCCCTGGTCTCTCTAGGACTGTGCCACACATCAAGTCCTATTGCCGCTGTTCACCTGACGGTCTCCGCATTGCCTGGTTCCTCCTCACTAGGTAAGCGCGTTCCTATATGATCCTACTTTTGACCTTTTGGAGTTTACTTCCCACTCATTTCCACATTGGCGTCAACCTAGATAATAAAAGCCAATTTCTATTACAGCCCCATCTGATGATAGAACAACTCAGGTCTAATTTCTGAAAATGGAACCAATCAATTGGCTGAAAATAAAAAGTCTGATAGTTGTACTCCGGTTTGTCTACAACTCAGTATACTACTGGCGCTCTTTTGGGCGTGGTGACCTTTCAAAGACTGTTCTTGCCCAAATTTTAGTTCTGCAAATAGGAGATTATCGAATCTACTTTTTTTCCAACTCATTAGCT